CCCTTTTTTCGTCGAATAATGAACAGTTTATTATTTTGCTTTTCCGATATCCAATGAAATCTTAATGCTTGGAATTGGAGCGGTAAATCTTTGGCCTTTCACAAGGATTGCTGATTTTGTTGATGTGACTTGGTGGAGCACAACATTTTTAGTATGATAAATTCTAAAGCACTTTACTTTGACCCGATGGAAGAATACCGAACAGTATGGAAAATGACGTTAGCTTTCAATAGCACATTGATTGCAATAGCGTTTCTAGTGCGAGAGAACTCTTTAAGTTAGCCTATATGACGAATTGATGTCACAGGCGATGCTCTTATCGACACTACACGTGGCATTTACGCAGCCCCTTTGCTTCCGCCGTTTGTTCTTTCTCTCCATTTCTTTGTTCCTAACTTAAATCGTAGTAAAACGTATTATTGCATACGTTTTTCTGTATTAACTTCCCTAAAATGAGACAAAAACCCAAAGTAATGCTTTTTTCTTCCAAACCATTTGGTAGCCCAAGTTTTATAGTCCGGCCCCATTAGATATCAGAGCAGTACAAATAATCTGAAGTGGTTTTGTGGTTTGATTCCATGAACTGTTTATTTGGATCTGAATCTATCAAACCGATAATTATGCAAGTGCATTCTTATAGTTTCTCTAAAGAAATTTATGGCGTGTGCGTTTCTATTTTGGAGTAGGTGATGTTATTTCATTGATAAAGATTGATAATGAAAATATTAAACGTTATAAAAGCACGATCTATCTCCAATGTCCCCCAAAATATAGAGATTCAAGTTTTACTCATAACTATCTTTAATTCCGGTTTGCGATATGTGGTATCGGTTGGAAATGATGATCATTAACACTTTAATTCTGAATATAACCCTCACCAACCCGCTTGTGCGGCCGATTGCATTAACATGATTGTGTTTAAAGACGAATTCTGAATAATGGTGACAACCAGTCGGTACTTAGATGGTTGATTTTAGGGGTTTGGTTTTAATTTCCGAAACTAACCCATTACTCGATTAACGCAGCTTCATAAATTACAAATCTTATGTTATATACATCGTTTTATCCCTAATTTAAATGTTCTTTTTCAAATTTTTATATTCCCTGGTGTTGAAATGGCTTTCAACTCGGTACCGCGCTATGACGCTGTCTTTACTTGGAGGTTTTGGTAGAGATGTCTATTTCTTTTGTATGTACGACGCACATTTCGAATTAATCTTGAATTCCCTTCGGTTTTATCATTGAGATTTCAAAATGCACATTATCTGCGTCGAGAAACTAACTACATTTGTGCATGAGGTGACACTCGAGAACAACAGCTGCGTATCAACCTAATCCATTGTGCGCTCGTGGATCCACTCGTTATTTTCCTAACACCACTCTATATGAATTCCCCACCTTCCGCTTGAATTTGCTTCGACATTCCAATCTTCACTTCGCTCTTTTATCCAAATGGGCAACCAAAAGACAGCAACCAAAACCGGCGCAGGAAAGTGAATGGTTAATGGTTGTAAAAACTGAACTAAACTGAGCTTCCTCTTGTTGCGGAAATTCGACAAGCTCGAAAATGTCTTTCAAGCTTCGTTGTGAGGTTGTTGCCTCAACTGTTTTCATCTGTCAGTGAGAAACTGGATGATAACAAGACTTCTCCTTATCTGATACCTTGTGTAGTGGTGTTCCTGTATTGTGAATGTTTGAAAAGACCCAAAGGATGGCGAATATGGGTTCCACTTGGTTTGAACTGTTCATGGTATGAAAAAGTCAATCAGCCTCAGCGGATATGGAAGTAATTTGGCTACTGATTCCGTCGCTGTTGGTACAAAAACCTATTCAAAACAATCCATTTTCCACTGTATTTGAAGAATGAGTCCGATTAAAACCAATGTCACGCGATGATGATGTCGTTAATTGTCATCAGTCTTGTCATGTTGCGGTAAACATAATTCCATAGATTGACTCTGGAGTCTTCTCACAATGCGGTTCGTCTTAAAAATGTAATAGAATGTTTTCGTTCTTACATTTCATATATTTAGCTTGATACAATGTAATCAAATTTAGCTAAATTCCGTTAAGTTTATTACTTGCCATAGTGGTAACGCACGCCTTCCATGTGACGGATTCGGAGTTCAAACTCCGGATGAGACGGTGGATATTTCCCACTGGTCATATCTAATAGGAGTGAAATTTGAATCTAATGCTCTCGAGCGTATCGTTGATGGGAAGATTGATGAGCGTGCATGAAGGTGAAGTCTTAAGAATGTTCGGTTGAAATATCAGTTATTCTACACCTACTCACAAGTGACTATGGGTTAAATGTGAATTAATTATTGAAATTTCATTTTCTCGTCTGGCTAGCTGCGGAGGAACGCGAAGCTGAGGAGGAACGTCAGAAACTTATATTGGAAGCCGCAGCAGAGGCTGAAAGAGAAAAACGAAGAGAGGAGCAAGAAGCACTGGATGTGATACAGGCAAAGCAAGAGCAAGAAAAAGCAACAGAAGGAACAGTCCAGCAGCTGGAACCAAATCAGACACAACCATTGCAGCAACAACGACAAGCCGAAGAAATCGCACAATCCTCAAGAAAGATCGAGCCCCAAATTAGTTCTGGAGACGTCGGACACAAAGAGATTGCCATCCCCTATGAGATACTTGACGCGATCTACCAACAAACGTTGGAGTCGAGACTGGCGCTAATCAAACCATTACCGGAAATTCCCAATGAAACGGAAGAGAACGTGCTCACCTACTTTGATATCAGGGAAATTCATCCCCTTGAAATCGATATGGACGCTGATTTTAGTATGGTAGGTTGGCCAGTGCGAAAGAAAATGGCGATTCACTAGAATTTATTTAAGCTGATTCAGAAAACTCAACGAATTCATCCGTTAACCGGTTGTGCTGTGCTTATATTTTGTATATATGTATATCTTAGTACTGCAATTTATGCAGGTTTTACTTATATCTTGGTACACTACGTAGTCTAAATGATAGAATGACTTTTAGCTAGTCGTTTTCAAACAGTTCGGATGAAGTCCCTTAGTGTTTCGCAAATTTAGGATGTATGGATATTGTTTATCAAATATGGGCACACTTCTCGCCTGTAGAGGTTTTCGTGGATAGGATAAGATAACTATTCAAGCACAATCCTAGAAGGACCCATTCCAATCTGATTGATTCCTCATATATAGAAGACGAGTTAATCTTACTTAGCACTAGAACAATGTCCGAGTCCCCTGGTTGACTGTCGCAGGCAGTGGCGTTCGTGTATCTTCTCAATATTTGTGCAACATTGGTCTACTGATATCTCCATTTTCAATTCATCTCTACCTCCAACGTTCTGCTAGTTTATCTAAATGGGTGAGCAACAGATAGCAACCAAAACCGGTGCTCGAAAGTACAAACTGAAATGAACAGAACTACCAAATAATACCTAATAACTAATTAATGGTTTTGATTCCCTAACTTCAAATGTTTGAACTAACTTTTCCACTTTTTCATCTATTAAATGAAACAACACAATACTGCTGTTGTAGTTGGTTAACTCATTTGGAAATCGCTACAACAATTCGTTTTACGCTAGATAGTCTACTTTAACGGTAAACACCGTGAACTTCTATATATGAAAACGATGTATTAATTGCTTTTTGAGCTTGAGGGCGGATAATCGGTCGTTTCATTATTATGGTTTCATCACTATTCAAAGCAGGTGTTTAAGTAGAAAATACCGATATTGGTAGACTACCAAATTAACCGGTTAGAAATTTCACGCGATCACTTCGAAAACTGAACATGATATGATCGGCGTTCTGGATAAGCAAACATTGGAAACGAAATGTATCATGGGGTTGGGACGTCAGTTAATTTAGGAAATTTTCAGAAGCTATGACCACACTATCGCAGCTTTCATATCGCACATCACTTCATAATTGGATTTCAGTTTTTCATTTTGAATAACTTCAAACGATGAGAGTGTACCTATGAACGATACTGATGAATAAAGCTACTAAGGTTGTTTGAGATCATAAAATAGTATCGGTGTGTGCAGTCGTGTGATGTTCAAAACTGAAGAAATCCTGACAAGCTATTTCCTATGCCCTTCCGTTTTCGAACGTTTTCATAATGAGACTCATGCAAAGTGTGCGCCATTCTCCTCTTTTTATGGTTCCGAAATTCACTCAAATGGGATGTAGAATTGCGCGTTGTGCCAACTCGATTTACCTGATTTTGTTCAAAACTACACACGATTCAAACAATGACCATTACTCGCGTTTTCTCACAAGTGAATCTGAAAAACTTTCATTGGGAGATATCTCATTATTAGTTAAAGCCATTTTTGCTTTTCAATGAATTTTGTCTTGTGATGTTACTATAATTTGTTCAGATAGTGTTAAATCCAAATGACTATCCAGGCCAACGTTGAGTGACGCGCAACCTCAGAAGCCA